TTGCCCAAGTACTTTGCCCACACTTTTGAGTAATTGTATGCTACATGCCTTGATGTGTGTGTGTGTATTCATAAAACTGAAATGATTCTTCACTGAGGGACGAATAAAGGACTATCTTCTTCTCCTCCTTCTACTAATAAATGTCCTTAAATGTCCCGGATCATCACCGTCCTTAGTCCCTCCTACATCAATAAGCAACAACTCAAAACCCAGTGGGAAAAAAGTGAGTAACTTGTGGGAGGCCCATATTGAGAGAGATCCGCTCCCACAGACATACAGGCGATAGATGAAATTATGAGCTGAATCTGTCACAATGAAGTTTTTGCCGTTGCTTGTTTTGCTGCTAAAGCCTGGGAGAGGAGGCAACTGATCCTGTACCCTGTAGGAGATGTTAGGTGCATGACACTCGAACTCAAACTCCAGACCTCAGGCTGTAGAACGAGGACTGAGGTGAGGTGTGGTTCTTCATAAGGTAATGCGTGCACTCGGCTGACTCCACGTCTGTCAGTGGAGTTGTGCAGGTGCATGTTGCTGCCCTCTGCTCTCCTTCTGTCGCTGAGAGTCTCACGCTGCCACTGGATCCACATGAATCAAAGTACACATGAGCTGCGGCCTGAGCACAGCACGTATGAGGCTCGTGCAGAGAGCAGCCTCCTCAGCCACAGGAGCCATGAACCCAGGTTTGATCTGAGCCTCGCTACAGAAGCTACAGCCGCCACAGCCGCTACAGCTGCCCCCAGGGTGAGGGAGTAGCGGCCTGACGCAGAGAGGCCTCGTTCAGCAGAGACCCCCGACAGCCAACATAAATGTGAAGTACGTTCTGTCTGTGAGCGGCCGGCAGCGTGACGACAGAGAGTGTGGGCTTGTCAGAGGTGGTCGTCTCTGAACACTTGAATTTAACACTAGAACTCCCAGAGCAGTCGATTTCACGGGTTTTATCTGTCATTTATCTGTTTTATCATTTTGACTCAGCTCATAAACCTGTTTGGTCTTTATAGCTGTGTCTTCTTCTGTTTGCAAAAGTCATTTATTTCTCTAATTTTGAGGATTTTTTTTGTTTTTTTTTTATATTTGAGAAGTTCTTCCTTTAACTTCCAGAGCAGTCAATATGACGGCTCCAATCATTTCAAATTCAAATGTAGTCATATTTGGTCAATGGTAACAACATTTTTCTCCAAGGTGCTGGTCCGGGACTGGTCTGGGACTGGTCTTGCCTGGCCTGCCAAACGATATGCTTTTTCAAAGACATATAGTTGTTACGGGCAACGACCTATTGTGCCAGTTGTGCACTAGATGGCGCTCCCGTTGCCCTTTGTGTTTGTGTGTGCGCCTTCGTGTTCTGTACAGGTGTCTGTGCGGGAGATCTATTGGAGGGACTTGAAGTGTGGGCGTGGCCGGTCTGACACCTGAGTGGCTGTAGTGGGACAAGAGCGTGGACGTCTTCCAACCCCGGGGATCCATCACTGAGGGCGTCCCCATAAAACCTCCCACTTGCCGTCAGCTCGGGGCAGCTGGACTTGTCCGTGCCAGTCTGCCGTCACTGCTCCTCCTGTATTGTTCTGTTCCCTTACGTTGTCACTTTGTAATTTTGAGCTCTAGTTTTGTATAGTGACTTTCGTTTTGTATTATCAATAGTATTATTATTTCTGTATTCCTCCTTCGTTTCCCAATTCATTTTATTTTCTGTCATCATTAAAAACTTACTTTAAAATGGACAAATGCCAATTCCATCTGGTTTTTTGCTACGTTCTTACCTCCTAGCTGAGCTGGACGTAACAAAATTGGGGGCTCGTCCGGGATCAGGTAATCCTTTTCCCATGTTCATTTAAAAGAAGTAGGTACCAAATTTTGGCAGATTTAATAAGTGAATTGTCGTGCGCAATATTCTCAGGTGTTCCCGTGCAAACTTTTAATATGGCTGACTTTGACAGATTTTTATCACATCCTACAGAGGAGGAGTTGAATAAATTTAAGAAAACTGAGTTAGTTGATATTGCAGAACTGTGCCAAATTGAAGTGGACAAAAACTTAAAGAAAGCAGAGTTGAAACATATTGTTGCATCCTGGCTGGTGGAGCATGGCGGCATGCACGTTCCTAGGCTTGAGGTGGAGGTCGTTGCTGGTCATTCGGAGCGTCCCGAGGCAACCTCTCTGGTATTGGGCCCGGAAGTTTGTCCATCCACAGCACGCGTCCCTCCCAAAGCAGAGGAGAGGCTGACAACGTCATCTTCTCCACCCGGTGTGTCTGAGAGTAGAGGCCGGCCTGATCACCCGACCCGCTTCTCTTGGGACCACTCGCTGGGTAGCCCGTCCCGTTTCCCCCAGGTTCCTACGCGGCACAGAGTACCTGTGGAGCGCCTGGGCGAGGAAGCGGAGGAAAGGGAGAGGGAGCGGCAAGGGACTATGGAACTTCAATACCGACTCAAGAAACTTGAGATCGAGGCAGAGACTGCGCTGAAAATACGGCGGCTCGAGCTGGAGGCAGAAGGCCGTCTTCCTCTTAACCCTAGCCGGGTCGTTGCTGCTGTTGAGCCAGCCCACAGTCCAGTCCAACCTGTTGATGTGAGTAAATATGTTTCGCTTTTTCCAAACTTTCGTGAGTCTGAAATTGACAGTTATTTTTCTGCTTTTGAACGCATAGCCCAGGCTATAAATTGCCCTCCTGAGCTTTGGTCCACCTTGCTCCAGTGTAAGTTAACTGGGAAAGCACAGGAAGTTTCTGCTGCTCTGTCTTTGGAGGAAAGTATGAGATATGAGTCTGTTAAAGTTGCTATTTTACGTTCGTATCAGCTGGTCCCTGAGGCCTACCGGCAGCGCTTCAGAGGCCTCAAGAAGGCCCCAAATCAGACCTATGTAGAGTTTGCCCGAGAGAAACACACTTTATTTGAGAAATGGTGCACTTCATCACAAGTTAATTCATTTTGTGATTTGCGTGAATTAATTTTGTTGGAGGAATTCAAAGATAATTTAGCGGAGAGAGTTGTTATGTATTTGAGTGAACAGAAAGTTACCACGTTACAAGAGGCCGCGGTGTTGGCTGATGAATTCGCCCTGACTCATAGGACCACATTTGGTACGGCGAATAACCGGTCCTTTGTCTCAGAGCCAATTCGTAGGTCTGCCAACACGCCACCCGTTCGCAAAGAGCAACGAGAGTGTTTTTACTGTCACAAACCTGGACATGTCATCTCTAACTGTTTGGCTCTTAAGCGTAAATCCAATTATTCTGCCACGGACTCGTTTGCTCAGTCCCAAGATTGATTTTGTTTGGTCGCAGGAGTGTGACCATGCGTTCTCCAGTTTAAAGTTTTTGTTGTTCGCTCTTCAGCATTTTGAGGTGTATGTTGGGTCGAGTTCGTTGCCTGTGTTGGTTTTTACAGACCATAACCCTCTTGTCTTTTTGTCCCGCATGTTTAACCATAATCAGCGGTTGATGAGGTGGGCTCTGATGGTGCAGGACTTTCATCTCGAAATCCGTCACAAGAAAGGAGTGGAAAATGTGTTGGCCGATGCCCTGTCCAGGTTTTGACAGTCCATCGCTATAGTACCCCCTGGTGATTACCGTAGTTCCAATTGGCTACCTGACTGTGTTTATTGAAAATGAGTAGTTTCGCTCTTAAGGGGGGGAGTGTTACGGGCAACGACCTATTGTGCCAGTTGTGCACTAGATGGCGCTCCCGTTGCCCTTTGTGTTTGTGTGTGCGCCTTCGTGTTCTGTACAGGTGTCTGTGCGGGAGATCTATTGGAGGGACTTGAAGAGTGGGCGTGGCCAGTCTAACGCCTGAGTGGCTGTAGTGGGACAAGAGCGTGGACGTCTTCCAACCCCGGGGATCCATCACTGAGGGCGTCCCCATAAAACCTCCCACTTGCCGTCAGCTCGGGGCAGCTGGACTTGTCCGTGCCAGTCTGCCGTCACTGCTCCTCCTGTATTGTTCTGTTCCCTTACGTTGTCACTTTGTAATTTTGAGCTCTAGTTTTGTATAGTGACTTTCGTTTTGTATTATCAATATTATTATTATTTCTGTATTCCTCCTTCGTTTCCCAATTCATTTTATTTTCTGTCATCATTAAAAACTTACTTTAAAATGGACAAATGCCAATTCCATCTGGTTTTTTGCTACGTTCTTACTCCCTAGCTGAGCTGGACGTAACAATAGTCTGGGAACGAGCTTGATCTCAGCGAATTCCCGGTGGGCGTGGTTGACAGACTGCATCAACCAATTAGATGCACACAGGATATGACGCAGCAACTAGCGGCACCCAAGCCGTTTCAGTAAACACAAAACAAGGGATGGCGGCATGTCAGCTAGTGCAAATGTAAATGACTGCTGTCGATTTTGTAACAAAAACTTAAAGATACGAGGAGTTATTAGCAACTCAATTCCGTTGTTTGCTTCCGCCTCTAGGTGAAAGGAAGTCCCGCCTCTCGGTGCGTGATTGGACCGATGTGGGTAAAATCGTGAAATGATAGGCTAGGAAGAGGTGTCCAGACGGTTCTTCTTTTGAACAGAAAGGAGGAGTGTCTGGCAGGCCAGGCAAGGACTGGTCTGGGACTGGTCCTGAATAAGTCAAAGCGTTTTGGCTGAATTTAAGTTTCATTAACCAGTTTTGGCACATACTAAAGGTGAGGAAAGTAAAACAACCTTACCATTACTTACAATAAAACTGGTGGAAAACATTTTGGGGACATTTTTCAACAGTATATTCAGTGTATTCAGTATATTCTATAACCCTATATCACAACATTAGTTATCTCGGATTACTTTACAAAACCATTACATTTGCAAACACAGATCAGAGAATCAAACAGTTCAAACACAAGAAATGCAATGATTAAAACACAGAGCCTTTGGTCCATAAGAGGCAGAGACCAAACCTCACACATGAGACTAAAGAGATGGTTGCACACGCCTGAAGTTATGTCAGCGGTGATGATCTGTGATGATCTGTGATGATACTTAAGAATACTCAGAGCAAACTTGTGCATGTGTGTTTCTCACCCGTGGTCGTAGTTGTAGTAATCCTGTGTGTAGTAATCCTGTCCTGGATCGATGCCTGACTCCATGGACAACTCCTGCAGAAAGACCACACAAAGTTATGTACACAAAAACAAAATACAAAACATACAAATACAGTTTCAAAAAAGTAAAAAAGCAGAAGAAAGAGAAGGAGTTTAGTGTCCAAGTACCTCAGGTCTGAGCAGAGAGGGCCGCAGCAGCTGCTGCGTCTTCACAAACCAGAGGGAAGAGGAAAATAGCAAAAAACAACAGCTTTTAAAACACATCTTGATGTTTATCACTCTTTTTGTCACTGTTCAATGAAATGATATGAACTTCATGAATAAATATAGAAACATGGCACTAACCACATTCATAATTATAGATACACTGCAAAATGATTACATTTGAGGTAATAATTGCTTGAATAAAGTGTTCACATTTCTGACTTATTTTTCATCACTTTTTGCAGTGTACTCTAATGATATTTTCGATCGTCATGAAACTCAGTGAGAAACATCAAGACAGAAGTGATCCATGCCTGAGACCATGCCACACAGAGACAAAGATACAGTCTGATTATAGATACATACCTCATGCTGGCCGTACAAGCCTAAACGCCTACAATGGACAAAGAAAAACACATTATAAAACATAGTACTATTGCACAAGATGAGAGGAAGTGTTTCTTATTTAAAAACATCATGTACTTGTTGCAGATTATGAACTAAAACACCCTTTATACACAGCAATGTTCATGTATCTGTAGATATTTGGGAAAACAGGACATGGAGGTAGGAGAGTGGATAAGTGTGTGTGTGTGTGTGTGTGTGTGTCATGGTGTGGACTTTCTGTTGATGTATCTGGTTTTATTTTGATATGTTTGTTCTCTTGTTGCAAGTTTTACTTCCTGTCTGTCTCGTTGATTGTTTGCCCCTCCCTGATGTGCTACACCTGTGTCTACCTGTGTGTATTTAGACCCTGTGCTCCTGTCCTCTTGTTGTCGGTTCATTGTGGTTTTTCCCGCATGTCTTGTTCCCGGTTGCAGTTATACTTTTTGTGGCGTTTATTAAATTATATTATTTTTGCAGTTCTGCTTTTGGGTCCTTCCTTGTTTACCCGTGACTGTGTGTGTGTGTGTGTGTGGTATTGGCATGTATGTACTGTATGCATTTCTAACTTTTATCATTACTAAACTTTATATTGTATTGTTGAGCATGTAGCAAAGTTTCCATGGGGCTAATCTTAGATAAACAAGTAAATTAATAAATAAATAGATTGATTAGAACATAAAAAATAAATACATACTGTAAATAAATACACTAAAATGTCAAAAATAATCAATAAATAATTAAATAAATAAATATGAAAGCATAAAAATACATTTATGAACTAATTAATAAAAACGTTAAAATGACTAAATTAAAAAAATATAAATACACAAAATAAAATTAAATAATCACAGCATGGTCGGCTGTCTGTTCTTCCTTTACCATCCTAATAGATGTTATCGATCATATTCTCTCCCATACATTCAGACCAAAATGACATCTGTCTTCTCTATATACAAAGACAATTACTGCCCAAAAACCTCACTTAGAGAAGTTTCTCTTCCAAATCCCACGGCCGAGGTTAATAACTACATGTCTGAGGGTTTGAGGAGAGTGGAGCAGTTTTGATGCTGAGACGCTGTAATGAAGTCTTGACAACCTAAATCTCCACCATTAATGTCATCTTTGTTTACGCCGTGTTTTTAAAGCGTTCTGAGGTCACTGAGGCCGAGCCAGACGAGCCGGCAGATGCACAAAGTCCGACTTGAAGGAAAAGAAGAAGAAGATTAAAGCCGCAAGCGGCATCTAACGGCCCTCGCCGCACCACGCACCGAGGTGGCGCTGACGCGCCATTTTTTTGCCCCCCCGATGGGAGCGACACTGTGCATTTTGAATTACTATGATCAGTGATTGTGTGTGTCTTTGAAAAGGTAAACCTCATTCTCCCCATGTAATACTTGACTCAGTCTGTAGGGGGCGCTATTGTTGCAATTTCGTCTTTTACAATTTCAGTTTACCCAAACCCAAGAGTTGAACAATCATTTCAAATTTTGTGAGAATCGGACTTTGTATGTGCAAATGGTGGCATTTAATGTTGTGCAACAGCGCCCCCTACAATTTAATTTTTTTAGTGTTATACCAAAGAACACCAAACTAATACACTTTATGCCTGAAAAAAGCTTGTGGCAAAGTTTGGTGAGTTTTTGTGTTTGTTATGTGGGTCAAATATAAGATCAAACAACATAAAACCTAAATACCTGTATCCCCATGTAAACCTTTACTCAGCCTGTAGGGGGCGCTAATGGGCCAATGTCATTGTTCACACAGTCATGTGACCTAGGCCCAGGAGTTGAACAACCGAGTCAAGTTTAGTGCAAATCAGAGTTTGTAAATGTGCTCCTGTTTGTTCATACAATCTGAGTGTGTCCATACAGTCTAACATGGAGATAACATGGGAACTTCACACCTCTCTATGAAAATGACCACACTTTGGGAGTCTGTCACACTCAGACCGTTTGACTAATTAAAACTCTATATGCAACTATTGATGGTCCATGTGTGGACACCATGTGGAGCGATTTTCAGACAAATTAGTGAAAGGGCCGAGGCTGGTTTGATGTTTGAGCGAGGTGTACTTTTCAGAGATTTAACGATTTTCTCATAGACACAGACAGGGGAGTGTTGGTCGTCGCCACGGCAACAGGGTAAAAAATAATCATATGTTGTCATTGACTTTTTGAATCCAGATGACAAAACAGAATTATGTGCAAAATTTCAAACATTTTGACAAAACTAAATTTTAAAAAGCCCATGTAAAACTTTAACATAGTCTGTAGGGGGCGCTAATGAGTCAATTTCAATATTTCAACTTTCAAATGACCTAGACCCTGGAGCTGAACAATGGATTAAAATTTTGTGCAAATCCGACTATTTTTGTGCAAATGGGAGCAAATTTGCTTTTGTCAAAAATTGGGAAGAAAATGTCACATTTTGCCGCTCCGCTGCTCGGACAACGTTTAACTGATCGGAATTCTATATTCAATAATAGATGGGACATGGGTTTAGACCATGTGGAGCGATTTTGAGACAAATCGGTGAAGCGGCCGAGGAGGAGATAATTTCCAGCCGACATGTGTGAAAAAGATCAATTTTCATTTTTCCATTTTCCAATTAAATTAATAAGCTTCCTGTTTGTCAGGGGGCGGAGCCATAATAACTTTTTTTTCATGTCTTGACCTGAGGAACATGTGTACCGAATTTTGTGGCTCTACGACAAACTTGACTTTCGACCCCCTCCCATAGGCGCAATGTAAACTGACTTTTGTAGGGGGCGCTATTCTGACATTTTTTTAGTCCCATAAAAATAAACACCAAAAAAATTAATTTTTCACCGGTTCTGAATTTTGGGCAAAATTTCACAACTTTTCATCAATGTTCAGGGGGTCAAATTAAGGTTCAAAGCGCAGAAGAAAAAAGAAAGAAAGAAAGAAAGAAAGAAATAATAATAAGGAATTTTTTTTAAAACTTTGAGCAAAAACAATATAGGTTTCCATAGTAATACAAATGATACGTCGTTTTAAAGCGAACGACCAGACGAACGCAACTATTGGGTTCTCGGTGATTGACGAGCGCTGACGCGCTCGTCAATCACCTCGCCATCATGAGGTCACCCACCCCCCCCATAGGACCCCATTCATTACACTGTGTGCTACAGCAGGAGCAAAGCCATTCAGTGCCTCCGGCACTGTTTTGTCAGTGTCTGGGAACGCGCCGTCGGGCTTGGGGGACGAATGTCCGGGCTTCGCCCGGACATTCGTCCGTAAAACAGTTGAAGGAACCCCCCTTTAATAGGACTTCAATCATTTCACTGTGTACTACAGCAGGAACAAAGCCATTCCGTGCCTCCGGCACGGATTTATCAGTGCTTGGGCACATGCCGTCGCGTGCAGGTCACAATCTCCGGGCTGCGCCCGGAGATTGTGACTTAAAACAGTTCAACGAGTAATGCCTGGGCTTCGCCCAGGCATTACTCGTTGGAAAAGCAATAGGCCCTTACCCCGGTTGGGGCTCGGGCCTAAAAAAAAGGGGGTTGTTTTAGTATTTGTCGGCAGTGCACTGGGCAACAGCAAAACATATTTAGCTGAAGAAAAAAAATCAATGTCAGTTGAAGTCTGGGTCAAACTGTCCTTTCCAACTGGGAACTGACGGCCTTTAAAGTGCTGTGTAAAGCCACCGGACTCACCGACTGAATGAGCACTTCTCTCACCGCGGGACGAGCGCTGCGTTAACCTTTCTGTGACTTGGTGAAATAATCATTTAATCAGGCGTAAAAGAGTCAGAATTGTTATTATTAAGGGTTTGGACCTCAACAGATGACATCACTTGAGCCTCGTCCCTTATGATCGTTACCTTCACTGTAAAAAAATAATAAAATATTAGGTATTGCTGTTGTGAATCGAGTGGTTTTTATCTTAATTAGCACATTCTGAAGGTCGTTAATTAGCTAAATTAAGATACATTTAGCCAATTTTGACTTGTTATTCGCAATTTTAGCAGTGTTAAACTACTGTCAAAAATTTTCTAATGGGACAAAGCAAAATGATCTTGTTTTAAACAGATACAAGCAACAGTTCTTGAAATGAGACTAAATGGCTTTGTTCATTCATTTTCAACCCCTTTATAAGTGAATTTCTGGGTCGGGAGGGGGGGAATAAAAAATTGCAGGTGGTGGGTTAAGACAGTTAAATACTCAAAATAAAAAATATAAAAAAAAACACTTGATTTTAGAATTTATTATCTCATCATTTATAACTTTTTGCAGTGTAGGTTGTGACTTCCTGTTACTTACAACGATAAGAAAAATACACTCTTTAGGGACTGATGTTCATGTTTTGAAGCGATGCCAATGATTCTTTTGGAGTTCATAAGTTCTTCTTGAATGCCGCCTGTGATGCCACAAGGGCCTTGCTCGCTGAAGTGCAGCACCTGGGGCCCGTCCCAGATGTTGAGAAACATACGCAGACAGAACATTTATTAATTATGGATATTGGTCCTCGATCCCCAATGGATCCTATGTGTCATTAAGTGTTTGCTTCTCTGATCTGTGTTGGCGAATCCACAACGTTGTTTAGTCCTCCATGATTTAGAGCTGTAAAAAAACAACTTGAAACATGCAAAGTCCACTCAGAAAGACCGAGTTCTGACCAGGAATCCAACTCAGGACCTGGTTGCTGAGTTGAGAATGCTAACCACTCAGCCATCATGGACGATTACCCGTTTATCAACTCTTTTAAAACACCAATCATCAAATGAATGCTTTATTTTTCTACAAATGATCATGTATTTCATATTTAAAGACACAATAACTTGATAAACCACACACTTGGACAAAATATCTGCAGCAGAATACCACTTCTAAAGAAAGATCTTTCACACGGGACTCTGCAGTAAATACAGTGTGCATGTTCTGCTGCTGCTGCTGCTGACTTTTTACAGTCATCAATAATAGATGTGGAGTACAACATGAGACTCTGAACTTTAAACATAACGAACAAGTCTATATTCAGTGCATTTTTACAGAAATCGTTGGTGGCTGAATAACGTTAGAAGATTAGAAACTACAAATCTGTGAAGTCTCGGCCGGTCACTGATTATGTGGTCATGGGTCAGACTCTGATCACTTCACTGCAGAGTGAGTTTTTTTTTTAAGTAGCAATATGTTTTCATGTCAAGTCATCATTAAATGGCCCTAATATGTACATATAAAAAAGCATTTATAAACCATGCTCTTTTGAATACTTATTTTGGAATTTCAAAATTAGTTTTACCGCACCTAAATCTTGTTATTGTTTTCATTTTAATGTCCCGTCCTCCACCATTTCACCAATCAGAAAGTCTGTGATCCACGTCTCCAGAACTCACCGCGTCGAGCTAATGTCACTGGTTAAATAACATGTGGCTGCAGAACAGGACCTTTGCGAAAAAGTTGTTGGTTATAGATTTGTTGTTGACAAAACTCTTGTATATTCAGATTGTATGGTCCCAGCTGGATTCGTCTGCATATCTGGCAACCTGAGTCAGGGAGAGTTGGAGAGGTTGCAGTACCACTTTTGCCCAGAGTTGCACATACTGCTCCTTTAACTAGTTTCATACAAATCATTAGCTGTATTACCTCGAAGCTCATTAAACATCAGGTTTGAGGGTCAAGAGGGTAAAAAGCACATTAGGATTTTAGACATTGGTCATGCGCTCCCGGTAAACCAGTGTCTTCTATGTGTTTGTTATGAATGCATTTAGTGTGAACGGTTTGATTCTCTGATCTGTTGTTGTCAGACCAACAACTTTGTAAAGTCCTCGGAGACGGCTACAGTTAAGGCTTTACACAAATATATTTTATTTAATTTTCTAAAATGTTTTT